GACAGCGACCTCGTCCTGCGGCCGCCCCCGGGCTTCGGTGACTCCAGCTCCGAGGAGGAGTTCTACGATGCTGCGGACAGGCTCAGCCCTCCGGAGGCGCTGGCAGGTAAAGCCTCACCTGCGTGCTGCGGGCCCTCCCTCCCGCTGCCGGGCTGGGATGCCGCCCCTGCTCCCAGCCCTTAGCAGCCTCCCCCGGCCTTCTGAGGGACATCCGAACACCCGTTCTCCACAGGCCGCTCCTCAGCACCCTCGCAGTGAGGTTGCAGGAGGATTTGTAACCACGTGCAAGCACTGGGTGCTGGGAAAAGTCAGTTTTCAGAGGAGTGGCATTCTGGAATCTCAGCTCTTTTCCTCTCAGCTAAGGAGACCCCAAAGCTGTAAAACACTGTTGCATGAACCCCCAAGATCAAAGGTCATGTTCAGGTCAGAGGCTTGTTAAAGAGCTGGGTCAAGGGTTCCCAGGGCTGGGCAGCTCCCTGACCATTGATTTTCTCAGAAATGAGAAGAGTCTTGTTTCTGAAGTAATCAGCTCTTTCAGTATTAACTGAACCTCCTAAAGAATTTGATTCATGCCATTAGAACCGTTTTGGCTTTTACAGCAATGCACAGTCACTGTACTGTGTTCAGGCAAAAAACATCATCTCTGGAAGCTGTTATCACCTAAATATCCAGCTGGCAACCTCTGGCCGTGTTTCTGTTTGGTGATGAGCCTGTGGGCAGTGTTCTCGTGGTGCTGCTGCTGTCCCCACACTTGACTGGGGAATTACAGCCACACCTGCCTGCAGGTGAAGTGACCCCAGAGCCCTCATCACTAATCCTGGGCTCCAGCCCTTGTAGCCACACACCCAGGCTCTGCCTTTTTCTTGACATCCAACCCCAAGTAGGTAGTGGATCATGAGAGACCGTTTCGTTCTGCCCTTGGGAACCCAGCTTAGGAGCCTGCTGAGCATTTGTGCCTGTGATTCCAAGGCCTGTGCCAGGAGCTTTTTGGCACACTGTGTAGGCATGTGGGTATTCTGCTGTCTGGGATTACTTCCTGATTTCCATGTTTTTCCTGCCGTCAGGCTACGATGCAGCACCCTGGGAGGGTGCAGAGAACCCCTCCTGCATCCCAAAGAGGCTGAGGTGCTACAGCTTGGGGGAGAGCCCTTCAGTGAGGGAGAAGCACGGGCAGGAGAAGGAGCTGACCTGCACCAAGAGCCTGAGGAAGAGAAGGTCTTTCCTGAAAACTGATTACACCTCGCAGGTCAGTTTCCCTGCGGCTGTCCCGGGCTCTCCACAGCGCTGCTGCTCCTGGCCGCCCACTCAGCCCACAGAGGACACAGGGAAGAACACGGAGATGGGGCTTCTTGTGGCCACCCGGGCCCAGAGGGACACTGCTGGCACAAAGCCCTGCTCTGATGTGATGGACATGGAGCCTGACACCATGGAGGCAAAGTCAGTGATGGAATGTCTGGTTTCCTCCATTTCGGACGCTCACCGTGCTGGTGACCAGTGTGGGGAGGAGGACAGCAGCCTCCAGCCTCAAAAACCCCCCTTGCTGTCCCCAGAGCCCCTTCCCAGAGGTCAGAGTGGAGCTGCCCAGGAAAGCTCCCCAGTGGAGACAGATCCTGGGTGTCTGAGTGAGGAGAGCTGTGTGCCCACTGGAGGCTGGCAGACCCAGGGAGCGCAGGAGGAGGGGGGTGAGGTGGTGGCCACTCAGCACAAGGCCAGTGTTGTGCCCTCTGCTGTTGTCTGCCCCTCTGACGAGCTCCTGCTGCTGCCATCAGCCCCTGGCCCCAGCATGGCTCCTCCTCAGGAGCTGGCCCAGGACTGGGGGCTGCCCCCTGTGAGTGTGGAGCCTTCCCTGGCTCCCTGTCAGGAGAGCAAAGCTGATGGTCTGAGCTGTGTCATTGGCAAGGGCTGTGCTGATGGTCAGGGCTGTGCCAATGGTCATGGCAGGGATGATGGTCAGGGCAGGGGTGATGGTCAGGGCAGGGATGATGATCAGGGCAGGGATGATGGTCAGGGCAGAGGTGATGGTCAGGGCAGGGATGATGGTCAGGGCAGGGGTGATGGTCAGGGAAGGGATGATGGTCAGAGCAGAGATGATGGTCAGGGAAGGGATGATGGTCAGAGCAGGGGTGATGGTCAGGGCAGGGGTGATGGTCAGGGAAGGGATGATGGTCAGAGCAGGGGTGATGGTCAGGGAAGGGATGATGGTCAGGGAAGGGATGATCAGGGCAGGGATGATGGTCAGGGCAGGGATGATCAGGGCAGGGATGATGGTCAGGGCTGTGCCGATGGTCAGGGCAGGGCTGGTGGCCAGAGCTGTGGCTGCAGCAGCACTGAGGGGGCTGTGTCCCAGCCCAGGAGCCAGCAGGTGGTGGATGGGGAGATCCTGTGGAAGGTGCAGGAAGGCCACATGGGGTTCCCAGATGCAGCCCAGCTCCTGGCAGATGGCAGCAGTGCCTCGGGGGTCCTCAGCCACCTCTCCTGGCTCTCATTCGGGGTGAGAACAGACCCTGTGTCACACAGCCTGCTGCAAGACAGGGTGGATGACCCACTTGAGCCTTTGGCCTGTCTGATGAGCAGCAGGTGCATGGGGGCTGGTGCTGTTGGAAGGAAGATGCCAACATCCCCTGCTGGAGCAGGCTTTGTCCAGGAGCTGGTGAGCAGCTCAGGGCTGGGTGCAGGGCAGCCCACAAGAGATGCAGGAAATGTGGCTCAGCAGGAGCCACAGCCTGCACAGGCTTCTCTTCCCAGAGAACAGGCTGCAGGGCTGGAGAAGGACTCTTGCCTGGCTCCATCTGCAGAGCTTTCCATCTCCTCGGTTCCAGTTTCCCTGGGGAAAGGAGCAGGAGACAATGGGGCTGCAAAACACTCCTTCCTCTGTCTTAACTCTGAGGGGGGTGAGCAGACCCCTGCAGCCCCCAGCCCAGGTGGGCCCTTGGGCTGTTCCCCGGCACCACACGGGCTGGACAGCTGTGGCTGCCAGCTGCCCTACATCAGCTGCTTCCCCCAGCCCCACAACCAGGGGGAGCGTGAAACCAGCCCCCCCCAGTTTCCAGGGCCCCTCACCACCCCTCCATCCAGCAGCTGCAGCCTTCCCAGGACCCCTGGGAGCGCCCTCCCAGTCTCCACTGCTGGGGACGCGGCAGGGCAGGACCCCCACATCCAAGTGCTGGGGCAGCTGAAGGACCAGGCATGGATGAGCCCTGTGGATTTCTCACGCTTCCTGGCCTACACTGTGGAGCTCCAGGAGGTTGTAGGGAAGCTCTGCGGAAACCAGGCAACTCACCTGCACGACCAATGTGCAGAGCAGGGTGTGGAGAGCCAGGGTGCCCTGGGCTGGGCTTCCCAGGACCTGCTGTCCAGCTGCCAGGCACTCCTGAGCACAGAGCAGCCTCTCACAGAGGTGCAGTGTGCACTGAGAGCAACGTTTGACCGCCTGGTTCACCTGGCAGTGACCTGCTTCCAGGTGACACACTGCCAGCGCTGCAGGCAGAGACAGCAGGAGCTGGGAGCTGCGCTGGGGGACGTGGTGGGCACCTACCAGCAGCTGCTGCACGCTCTGCACCAGCAGCTCCATGGGCAGGTCTGCCCTGAGCTGGGCACCAAGCTCCTTGCCCGCCAGCACACGGCCCTAGCAGCTGCCATCTTCTGTCTCCTGCAGCAGTTCAGGGCATCCCCGTGGCTGTGACAGGCGGGGTGCGGGCACACGAGGGCACTGAGGGGGACAGAGCCCGGATGTGTGCCCCCTGTCCGCCTCAGGCTCTCCCCCTGGCAATGTTTGGCCCAGGATGGCCACGGGAGGATGTGCCCAAACCTGCTGGCTGGGCTCCCCAAATGCAGCCATGCCCCAGGTGCTCTTGGAGCACTTCACAACCATAGCCTGTGTCTTACCCAGGGCTCGTGCCTTGCCTCCCACGGGCTGAGCAGATGGTCAGTCTCATGGTGTTCTCTCAGCTTCTTTGTCACCCATGGGGAAGAGTGCGAGTCTTTCAGCCTGCCTTTCACTCACTCGTCTCCCCAGGCTGGCTCTGGACTGAAGGAACATCAAACCCCACCCTGTCCGGATGTGAAGGCCCCCAGGTGGCTTTCTCCACCCTCTGTGGCCAAGGGACCACCGTGATCCCATCTTCAGTTGCTTTTCCTTAGCCAGAGAGGGTGGTCCCAGCGGGGGCGGCAGCAGAGCCGCTCCGTGCCGTTCCTGTGCCAGCAGCTGCTCTGCTGGCCAGCGACAGCTCCTGCAAGCTCCCACCCCACCATCGAGCTCCCACCCCACCATCGGAGCGGCTCCCGGCTCTGTCTGCCAGAAGAGAGGGCCAGCCCCTCTGATGCTGCGGTCAGAGCTGTGCAGGGACCATCACGGGCTCCCCCAGCCCTGTTCCCCTCCCAGCAGGTGCGGCTCGCCCTGGCCAGGCGAGAGCTGGAAGGGGGTTTGGCTGTGCATCCCTGCAGGGCAGCACTGCAGCACCCTTGGATGGAGGGGCAGAGGTCAGTCCCTCACTGCTGAGGTCCAGCCTGGGGATATTGAGGGTGGCTGCCTTTCCCCAAGGAACTGCTGCTGCAGCCCAGGGGGTCTGCACTAGGCAGCTGAGGGGCACAGCTGATAGCACAGGTGATAGCACCACCTCTGCCAGGCACCGTGGGCACAGGATTGTCCCCTGGCTCTGGGACACTGAAGGGGATCGTCTCCACGTGCAGCTTGCCAAGAGCCACCAGGCCACAGCAATAGGCACTGGCCAACAGTGACACTCGGAGCCCCTGTCGTGGCTTAACCTCAGGGCAAGGCCCTGGCTTGGGTTAAACCACAACAGCCCCCAGCTGCTCCTGCAGAGCCACTGTCACACACGCTGGGACACAAGCCCCAGGGCTGTGAAAGGGCCTTGCTGTGAGAGAGAAATGAAAACACATAACCAAACTTACCTCAGGTGACCTTCAGGTCCTGCTGCCACTGGCCATGAGGTTTTAGGGCGCTTTTGGCAGCAGTGGCTGAGGTAATGTATGGACTCAGCTGCACCAAACACACTTTCTGCTGTGGCTGTGGCACGTGGCACTGCTCTCTGCAGGGTACAGCCAAGCCCAGCTACCTTCCCAGCAGGGACACAGGCGTCAGGTGTGACAAGGTACCACTTATCAGTAACTGTAGGGACACAATGGGGATCTAAACCTTTCATTTTATATTAGATGTGTACAAGTAGCCAAAGGCTTTGACAACTCACCTAGTCTTCACTGCATTTAAGCTGTTGGGACAGAGCGTCCTTGGGAGCAGCTCCCCATCCCGCATTCTCCTGCAGGAACAGCACTGTCCTGTCCCATGGTAGGGGGTTTTCCTTGCCCATATGCTTTGCAATCCTAACTTCACCTTACTCTCTGTTTCAATAAAATGAGGAAAACACCTTAAAGCTCTCCTCCCCATCCCAGCACACATGTAGGTGCAGGAGTCACAAACAGCGGCAAAGAAGCAAAACTGAATTCCTGTCAGTTTTCACTTGATTCCAGGCTCCACCAGCTTTTCTTTCCTGCTCAGGGGCACAGGGAATGTCTAGAACTGCATTCCTGAGGTAGAAGGTGTTGCTCCAACAAGGTCCTCACGCTGCTGGAAGTAGCTGTCCCCTGGGCACAGTCACGCTGGTGCTTCCTGCCTATGCAGCTCCTCAGCACAAAATAAAGAGTTTTCTTGGGCAGCAGTGGCGCACTGGGGTGTTTCCACCTGTTCCGCTGTATCCGGTAGCACGTAGCCTTTCCCAGAAGAAACTCCAGCCCGCAGAGCTGCTGGCCAGCTCCGTGTCTCATAGTAGGTGGACAGGACATCAAAGACTGTCAGGAGCAGAGAGATGCTGAGTCACACAGTGCTGTGACAATGGTGCCACACACACCCACTGAACAGGAGGGAGGCGATGGCAGCTGGCCCAGAGAAGGTCCCTCACTTAACACCTGATGAGCTGATGCTTGAGGCAGCTCACCTAGGGGCAAACAGGTATTTTGGAGAGGACTTTAGGGAGCTCTGGGCAAAGCAGTGGCTGTGTCAACTACGGTGAGGCGCCTCCACCGTGTTTTGGCTGACATATGACACTTGTCCCCCCTGTAGTGAGCCACACCTGCTGTGCTCCCACTGTCACTCCAAGGGACAGAGACTCCATCCCTTGGGCACACCGAGCCCCCTGCCACTTCCTCTGCCTTGTGTCCATGGAGGGGACACAATCCTCATGTCACGGGTAGAAACTGCGAGGAGCTGGCGTGGGTCATGAGCCCCTCTGCAGCCACCAATAGAGAAATTGTCCCCTGCCTCGTGCACAGCTCCCCGGGGAGCGGGGGATCACACCCAGCCTTTGGACCACACCAGACCCCCGTGTGTCCCTCCAGCCCCCAGGCAGCCCCTCACCCTGGTTGATGGCCAGTGTCTCGGAGTGGTAGTTCCTGGAATTGGGGGCTTTCACCATGTACTCGCGGATGGGGAGCCGGGCTGTCTGCAGGCACTGCTCCCGTGCCCTGCGCAGGGTCAGCTGCTGCAGGGGACACACAGACATGCTGACACAGGGTGTGGCCTGCACAGCCACAGAGCAAAACTTGCCCAGGGGCTTGTGGCACCCGCACAGCAGCAGCTTCTCCCAGCTCGCTGCTGGGTCCAGGCAGAATTTGAGGGACAAGGGGTGTTGGGAGGCAGCTGCAGCACTGGGATGTCTCCGCTCATGGGGCAGGCACCACGCACCTTGTGAATGCTCTCATCCACCAGCCCTCCCAGCACGTACACTTTGTCCGGGTCGATGTCTTCAAGGACTAGAAATAGGACAAGCACTGGCTCACCACCACACAGCAGCCCATCCTGCAGGACAGTGCTCTCCCTGCAGACCCCACTCCCAAGGACAGCAGTGGGTAGAGCCTCCTCACCCCAGGGGCTGTGGCCTGGGGGCACACGGGTGCCACCAGCACTGACCCAGCCCCAGATCTGAGCACACAGCATGCAATGTGAGACAGCCCACGTGAGGAACAGCTTGCCTGAAGCATGGAACAGCCTCAAAAAGAAAAGTCAACCTTCTAAAAGTTAGCCTTTTGCCCCGGTTCTACCTTGTCTAAAGCATGTGAAATATTTACCATTCTCAGAGTCAGGAGTGAGATAAACAATGGCCTCCAGAGGAAACAGGTCCAGGTAACTCTCTGGAGTTGTATCCATCTCGAAGACACAAGTCAGAGTGAAGCAGCCCATTAGTCTAAGGTACATCCCCCAGAACAAAGGCCCCTCCCAGACACAGAGATACCCCGGGACTGACACTACTGCTGAGGCCATACTGACTGCTAAAGGTCTTCTAGACCATACAGACCTGCAGTGACCTAGGGTTTTTCTTTTTCAGTTGGACAATGTTTCTATTCTGGGCACTGGTCAACACACCTAAAAACTCCATTAAATTCTCTTTCCTCATTAGAAGTTCTTGGGGTGCTTTAAGAAAGGGAGAGCATCAACCATGGTCTAATTTTAAATCAGATACAGAGCACAGGGCTGTGCTGTCCCCCGACCCCGCGGCCAGACCCTCACCAGGTATCCAGCGAAGCCGTCGTTCATGCGGAAGCACTGCTCGTAGATCGGCGTCCCGGCCGCGAACTCCGTCAGGCACAGCCAGAAGGGCCGAGCGGCTCGCCGGTTCGCCCCGTAGAGCCTCCGGATCTGGGAGGCGAGGCGGCCACTCTCCTTGGGGACAGAGCGGGACAGTGACCGCGAGCCTGGGGCTGGCGGTGCCGCCGACTTCCCGGTGCCTCGCCCGCAGCAGGGACGGGCACACGGGGGGCGCAGCCTGTCCGGGACCCCGANCCGCCCAGCAGGCCGGCTCCGCTGCCGCTCCGTGGCGGGGCTCTCGGCTGTCAGCGGCACCCCGCGTTCCGCGCGTTCCCACAGAGGATCCGGCCTGAGGTGGTTTCCCTGTTTGTCGCCGTGCTGAGTCAACAGCTCACACAGCAGATGCCACACGCCCGGTCAGGCTGGCACCGCTCCCCAGGGCTGCTCCTCCACCGTGCACCGCTTCCTTTGTGTATCCTAATTCTTCTATCGTTATTCTTCCTATTCTGTCACTTTATACTGTGTCTATGGAGATAAGCATAAGCAGGTGGAATTTGGATAACTAATGGCATTTGGATAAGAAATGAATCCCAAAAATTACTTCTGGTTTGGAAGAAGTGGGAGAATTGCGTGACAAGCACAACCTTCTGGAATTGCAGGAAGCCAACTGCCTGATGCCTGGCCAGGTCATGAGCAGCAGCCCCCCGCCCCAGACAGCTCTGACTGCCTGGCAATCTGCGTCCCACACTGCATGGCATCACACACAGCGTGTAAAACTGAATGTCAAGGGAGGGGATATAAATAAAAGCTGACCCGGCTGTGATCAGCTGTCTTGGCTGTAGCCCCCTGGCCTGCTTGCTGTCAGGGCAGAAGCAGCTGAAAAGCCCTTGGCAGGGTCAGGACACGCAGCAGCAGCCACAACATCCACGTGTGATCGGAGCTCTCCTCACCCTGAATGCAGAACATGGCCCCGCACCCACCGGGAAGAAATGAAGCCCAGCACAGACCAGGATGTCCAGGCAGGGCCAGCACAAACCTGACTGTGCACTGAGGCAAGCAGCACCTCTTGGAAAGCCCTTCCAGCCCACAGGATGTCCAGGGCTGTCCTGGAAATCCTGCACTGTGTGGGGGCCCTGGTTCCATGGGGCTGGGGAATTGTGTCTCACCCACAGGCTTAGCTGCAACACTGACTCGTGTTTTGTTTCCTAGGAAAGCATCTGCGTTTCCCTGAGGCACTCTCGGGAGTACATTTTACATTTTCCAGAACTACTCTGCCAAGAAACTGTTCTCCAAGCCCAGAGCATTAATGCCACCCTCTGTGCTGGGGCTGTTGCAGTTCTTGTTTCTCCATGAACAAACCGGGCTCCAAGCATGTCCCAGGGTGAGGCAAAAGTGTAGACAGGTAGAGAAAATAGACTAGTAGACAGGTAGAGAAAATTTTGTGTAAGACCTCAGGTAACACACAAGGGACAAAGGATATTTTGGAGAAGAACAGAGTTCTTCTGTGGGGGACAGAAGGAGCATTTTGGGGGTAAGACAGAGGTCACAGTGACACTCCCAGCACGAATCAGACCCCAGAGGAGGGGCTGGTCCTGCTGTTCGACTCAAAGCCTGGGACTGTTATGGATCCCATCCTCACTGGCACCTGTTCTGTACTTTTAGCACTGGACTGGACTAAGGAGGCCTCTCTGGACTCCTCCTCTTTGCCAACGAGGTTTTAGTAGTGTCTTCCACACTCTCAGAACATGAGGCTTGAAAAAACATATTGACATTGAATGTGTTTATAAAAATGCCAGTAAGATTACAAAAACTTAAAGAGAAATATCCAAACACCACTAAAGCAGTAGCTTTTGTAAGGAGGAGGGACCCTGACGTTCCCTGAGTAGTTTTGAAAAAAACCTCCTGCTAATTGTCTTTAAGAGGGCAAAGGGTGCAGGGCCGGGGACCGCCCAGGATGGGGGACAGATGCACTGGGGACAGATCCCCAACGGGGGCTCATTCCCCGGGGCACAGCCGAGGAGAGGCATGGGGTGCAGCCTGGATTTTTGTCCAAGTTTGCACACAGCGGGAGCTGGGTGGTTCCTACAAAATGCTGCTCGCCGACCATCGAAACTATTTACACGTTGTACAAAGATATCAGCATGAACTGGTTATACATTACATCCCTTTTCTATTAATTAGTACTCAGACCCCCGTTTGCCGCTGTGTCTCAGTTCTCACGCCGAGCAGCCCAAGGCACAGCTGCTCTCTCCGTCTGGAGCCGGCGCTGGCGACCCCCGGGCCCGGCACCGCCCGGCCTCTCCCGTGCCTCCGCGCAGACAGCAAATCCCCGTTACAAATCCTCCCAACGGCACAGCAGGCGGGCCCGGCCGCTCCCGGGGTGCCGTTCCCGGGGTGCGGGTGCCGTTCCCGGGGCGCCGTTCCCGGGGTGCCGGTGCCGGTGGTGCGGCCGCTCCCGGGCGAACGGCAGCAGGGCCGGGCCTGAGGGAGTCGCGGTCACG